AAAAGGAACAAATTACAAGGCCCCAACAGGGTAATCTAAGGCCCCAACAGGGTAATGAGACAGGGGCCAACGACCCAAACCAAAAACACGCCTAAAAACCAACAGGAATATAAAAATTTTTTAAATGCAAATAAATTATAGTAATAACAATTAAACTTCATTTAAATTTTATGCTTAGTAATATTTGATTTATAATCAAATTTTTTATGTTTAAAAAGAAAATATATAAAATTGAATGAAAGGTTAAAGAAATATTTTTTTTAGAAAATATTTTAACTTTATTTAAAATTCTCAATACTTAGTCTCATTCTATCTTATAAACTAACATGGTATGCAAGGTTAAAGAAATATTAATTTAATAAAAAAACTATATTATATTTTGTTTGAATTTTAAATTTTCAATGTTAGCTGCACAAATTTAGTCTAAACTAAAATAAAGTTGATGAAGTATTGATAAATGTTGGATTAAAAAAATATATAAAAAATAAAATATAACTAAGTAGTCATTCAAAAAATATTTAAAAAATAATTAGAAATCTCCGAATATCTAAACCGAATTAAACCGAACCGAACCGTCCCAAATACCAAACCGAACCGAACCGAAAAATAAAAATTTCTAAACTAAACCGAACCGAACCGAATTTTTAGTACGGTTCTGGTGATCGAATTTTAGTGATCTCCAAATTTTGGTACGGTTTCAGAAATTTATCTATCTCCGAACCGTACGAACCCATGCGATGCATCTATAACATACATTATGTCATTATTTAATTATTTAGGGCTTTTTTTATTAGGGACTCATTTTTCATATATTTTTGTTCGAATTGTAATATGTTATTTAAATCTTTTTATATACGACATCATTATGTTATTCTTGAAAAAAAAATACGTTAGAAGTTTATTTGTTCATCATTTTATTTTGTTCCTACAATCATATGTTTAATAAATTAATTAATTTATCTTACTAAACTTAATCGGCCAAAAATATTTGTCACCACGTGCATCGCACGTTCACCTTACTAGTAGAAATAAAAGTGCTAATGAAAATTATTCTTTCCAATACAAATTCTATTACCTTTCCTGTTAAACATTTCAATTCCATTTCATCCATATATATTAATCACCTTCGCACTTTACAAAGAATATTTATTTATTCATTCTAAATACCAACAGGATAATAATATCTTTCCCAACTCTTGGCGTATGAGTTATGTATAGGCAATGGCCAACACATATTTCCCGTATTAGACTTCAATGTTTTCACTATTGTGTGGTGTGTGCAGTCTCTAACTATATCTATCTAGATAGCTCGTACGTGGTCCACAATCTCTACCATCATCAATAATATCAGCTATTAACAGTAAATAATACACAAGACTATGAATCATCAATCTCAATAGTTTCACATTCATTTTCCCCTCGTCCCTCTCCATTTCATTTAGTCATGATCACCACACTCCCCGACGCGGCCTCGCCGTGGTGGGGCCCTCTCACGGCAGCCGCTGCTGCCGCCGCCCTGGCCGCACTTTATACACTCTACCTACTCCTATCCAAGAAACCGGCCGGCAGGCCCCTCCCAGGCCCCCGTGGCCTCCCCCTTGTCGGCAACCTCCTCTCCCTCGACCCGGACCTTCATACGTACTTCGCGGGCCTTGCCCGTGCCCACGGCCCGATCTTCTCCCTGAGGCTCGGCTTCAAAACCGCTGTCGTCGTCACCTCCCCGTCTGTGGCCCGTGAGATGCTCAAAGACCACGATGCGGTGTTCGCCAACCGGGACGTGACAGAGGCGGGCCGTGAGGCCACGTACGGCGGGCGCGACATCGCGTGGAGCCCGCACGGGCCCGAGTGGCGCATGCTGAGAAAAGTCAGCGTTCGGGAGATGCTCGGGAGCCGCGCGCTGGACTCGGTCTACGCCCTCCGGCGGAGGGAGGTCCGGGGGACGGTCCGGTACTTGTACGGCAGACGAGGGTCGCCGGTGGACGTTGGGGAGCAGATGTTCGTGACATTGTTGAACGTGATCACGAGCATGATGTGGGGGGAAACGGTGGTCGGGGAGGAGCGGGCCAGGCTTGGGGCGGAGTTCAAGGAGGTTGTGGGGGAGATTGTGGGGCTGCTGGGGATGCCGAACGTGTCAGATTTTTACCAGGGATGGCTAGGGAGGCTTGACGTGCAGGGGATAAGGAGGAGGATGAGGGCGGCGGTTGGGAGGATGGACCGGATTTTCGAGGCAGTGGTCGAGCAGAGGCTGAGGGGCGGTGGTGAAGGGACCGGAAAGGATTTTCTGCAGTTTCTTCTGGAGATGAAGGATGGAGAAGATGTTGGTTTTAGCATGACTCACCTTAAGGCTTTGCTCATGGTAATGATGTTTGGTTCTTTATGTTGCTCGAATTTTGTTTGGCTAAGTTATTCTAGGTTGAATCGAAACAAAGATATCTGTTTAGGCCAGCGTCGTAAAGGAGCTACGGTTATTATTCGGTTTTTGGTGAAAGAATCCGAGCACAAAAGAGAGATCAATTGACATTCTTTAGGATGTTATTAGTTTAGAAATGATCGACCGAGTCTGAATGAAGTTGTTGCTTAAGGTCTTAACAAAGTGCAGATTTTTTTTTTTTGTTTTTTGATGATCATGAACAATAACTTAATTAGATACTGGCCATTTCTTTTTCAACCAACTGCTCTGCTTCTGCTTGCTTTTGTCATCATTGAAGTTTCATATCGTTGTGAGGGTTTCACACGATTCGAAAACCGAGAAGTTTGGAAAAATCATGTTCAAATCCTTCAATCCTAATGCAATGTATATGTGTGTAGATGAGTCACAATAGTCCTTCTTTGCCAAGCATATCTTGTAGTCGGTCTTTTCAAACTCTTCTACTTAAGATATGTTTAATTTACATGAATGGTTGAGAAACTTATGGGCTGTGAATAAAAATAACATGAAAACAGGATATGGTAGTCGGGGGGACTGACACGACATCCAACACGATAGAGTTTGCCCTGGCCGAGATGATGAACAAGCCCGAAATCCTCGCGCGGGCCCAGCAAGAGATTGACACAGTCATCGGCAAGCAAAACACGGTCGAGGAGTCCCACGCCAAGAGCCTCCCTTACCTACACGCCGTGATGAAAGAAGCCCTCCGACTCCACCCGGCTGTCCCGCTCCTCGTCCCACACTGCCCCAGCACCACATGCGAGGTCTCTGGCTACACAATCCCGAGCGGGGCCCGCGTTTTCTTCAACGTGTGGGCCATCCACCGGGACCCTTCGTTGTGGGACAACCCTTTAGACTTCTGTCCCGACCGGTTCTTGGACGGGAAATGGGACTACAGTGGGAACGACTTCAGTTATTTCCCTTTCGGGTCCGGGCGGAGGATATGTGTTGGGGTCGACATGGCCGAACGGATGTTCGTGTTCTCGCTCGCGACATTGGTTCATTCGTTCGACTGGAGGTTGCCTCAAGGGGAGAAGGTGGACCTATCTGAAAAGTTTGGGATTGTTCTCAAGAAAAAGGTGCCGTTGGTTGCTATCCCGACTCCTAGGTTGTCTGATCCGGCGCTCTATCAGTGATCAAACTGATTTTTTTTTTTTTTTTCTTCATGTTGATTTCTTAAGTCTTGTTATGGTGTCAATCAATACATAATCGAACATTATGATGTCATCTGGTTCCAATTTAGTGTACTATTAAGAGTTAACAATTACTTCTAACACTAATAAGAGGACTAATATGCACCAAAATGGCAAAGCAATTCAAGTAATGAATTAGCTTAATCATAATCAGAATGTAAATGAACAAGAGGAGAGCTAATCATCATCATCATACACTCCATCAGTATCCATTCAAGAGAATATAGATAAGTTTGCCTAGTTGGTTTTTCTGAAATGCACCAATACAAGCAATCAAATCGGTCACACGCAATCACACACACATGTCCAGATTTCCGGGTAGTAATCTTTGACTGAAAACGCTGGTACTTTCATGGGTACCTTGATGAGAACCGGCCTGCACGGCCCACATTTACGGTTCTCTCTACTGCAAACTGGGGGTTTTGAGCCGACTTTCATGTTTGGTTTGCTGATGATTTTAGCTGCATAGTCTTCGTTCCCTGTCGGCTTCTGCTTACGGAAGCTCGTTGCTTTTTCGCGTAGTTTTTGTCCAAACTTGTCGAGTCGATTTCCCTCAGCTTTTAAACTGAAGATGGCAGGAGTACAAAAGCACAGTAGGTACAGGAGAAAGAGAGGCTTCATTTCTGACTGTTATTAAGAAGAGTGATTCTTGTGATTGGTTTTGCTTTAGAAAGTTTACAAGTCGAAGTCGTGGTTCTATTGAACATTTATGGGGTTAGTTATGGAGCAGCTGATATAGCAAAAAATCTATGGAAGATTATTTGATTTTGATTATTTCAATCTACTATGATAATGGAGCCAATTAAATGATTGGGGGCAATTTGTTGGAATTTAAAGACCGTCTGCAATAGAACTCATAATGAAACAAATTTTTATATAGAGTACTTGTAAAAATATACACTAAGTTTATGTGATATATACACGTAAGGTGTTCAAAAATATTAATCTAAAATATTACAAATATGCATTACGTTAAGTTATTGTCTCTTTGTTTAATCTTGAAATTTTAGCACGTTTGAATTTGCCCAAATTATATGGGTTTGTGATGTAGCGAAAGCGTGAACGAACGGGAAGATACAAGGAGATACTCTCTCCAGAACACGGGATACTCTCCCAAAAGAAAACACGATCAATTATTTTCATTCATCAAATTCTACTCCTCACCAAAACAGAAGAGCCCTTTAAATAAAGGCTTCAAACTCAACCATAGCTTAATATCTAAGCAAATAATAATAATAATAATAATAATAATAATAATAATAAAAATAATAATAATAATAATAATAATAATAATAATAATAATAATAATAATAAACATATATATATTCTTCATCATTCTCCCCCGGTTGAACAGGATTCGGCCTCGAATCCGACCTGTTCCCGTTGGAGAAGTCACCAGGACAGGAATAGTCCATATTTTCCCCGATCGAACACGAAGCTCGAAGGTCGTCCAATCGCACCGGGGAACACAAAATCGGGCACGTAGACAACGGTCGGAAAAGCAAAGGGGCCTACTTCCCGATGCA